ACTTTAAGTTTGGGATTTGTAACGGAATGATTGAGTTGAAATTGTTGAAAAGGTTCTGGCCATTATGCACAGAAAACTTTCTTCGCGTCACTGTGGTGTTCTTGTTACGTTGGGAGTTTAAAATAACAATTTGAGGCACAAATGATGAACTTGCTGCCACGAGAGTATGCAAATCGAAGACATATGAAAAATAGGAGTTGTATTATGCGGTAGAGTTGGATATGGGTTGGCATTTTCCTTGTTCTTATGGTTGGAACCAACATTTCTGTTCCTCATAGTTAACCTTCTCCTTTTCCTAGCCTCAGCAGCATGAGAGGCTTTTGTGTATTTTTCGTTTTTCAGAATCCATAACAGTTTCTTTGGTTGCTCGTGAGAGAATTGTGAAAGTATTACAGTGGAAATTGTTTTATGGATTTCAAGTGTAATGGTGTTCATAAGAGTTGACTTGCACCATAAAAAGTAACATGAGATATTTTTCAAGTTTAATGGAAAATAAAGTAGTTAAAAGTGCTGCCTAATAAAAATTGACTTATAATCCAAAATTTGAAAAGCAGTGATGAAAAGTTTAAGTTTGGCGCTTTTTGAAAATTTGTCCCTCCAACTTAATTGGAACTTGTATTGATTAAATACATAATATATAAATTAAGATGCTTACAAAGTATGTGAAACACAATGAGGAATGCACATATAATATTAATTAAATACAAATAATGTGTTTTTGCAATTGTCAAATCCAAACCTGCTACATAACTTATTGTCTAATAACCTGCTGCATAACTCACTGTCAAAGTATATGTAAGGGGTATTATCACTGATCAATTGAACAGTAAATGGAAGAAAGGTTGAAATGATAAGTATAAAATCCAAAAATATCTTAGAAGGTAGAAATAGACAGTAAGTACAATTTGATTAAATCTAATAAAATTGTAAGATAAAAAACCATAATAAGTGTTGCCAAAAATGTAGAAAAACCAAACTACATTACTGTGTGACTATATTATTCTCAACAGAACTTGATAACCAAAATGTGTTGATTCAGAATGCATTTTAATATGGAAAAAGAGTGAAATTGTAAAAGTGGAGGAAGCATAGAGAATGGGTTCGTTGTTAGCATTAGACGCAATTGGAAAGTAATTGTGGAACATTGGAGGAACATTCATCTCAATCTTTGACTTCACAAAGACAAAGTTCAACACAAGCTTCAAGTTCTTCTCACGTAACCCCTTATGATAAACTTATGTATAAGGCAATTGTTCTCCCTCTCGCATAAATTGTGAAACTTCAAGTGGTATAATTTCCTTTTAACTTTCTTTCTTAAATAGTATAATGTGAACACAACTTCCTAAGTATTGTGTCTTTGTTTTTTGTTTTAATTTCAGATCACTCAAAGTGTTATTGTCCCCAAAGTTAAAAAACTTAAAGCTGCTAAGGGAGGATGGTATTATCAGGCATGTCATGAATATCCAATGGTTTCCAAAGGAAGTCAACCGCCTTTCGTCTGTGGTAGTGGCCACAAAACTGAAACACAAATATTCAGGTGCATGAAGTGCTTGAAAATTATTGTTTTCCAAATCATTTTCTACATTATTATCATTTGTTAATGTTTTTCACAGATATAAGATTTTGATTGAAGCAGTCTATCGTGGAGCAAAAGTTGAATTTGTTATATAGGACCGCGAGGCATTTCAACTCTTGAAACTTACTGTGACACAAATGTATAACAACATGCTTGAGGTTTGTTAAAATTGTATCCAACAAGTGTAACATATTACATCCAACTTTATTGAAATGTAAAGCAAGAGAAGAATAATGCAGAATGTGTTACCTGGTCACAAAGTCCTGGATCTCAGGTAGTCACAAATATGCAACTTCGTGACGTTGAACGTGTTAGACACACATAATGGAAAATTTCCTAAATTAATGACCCAATTATTAGCGGTGATGTTATAAAGTATATCATAATTGTCAGATAAACCTTAATTTATCGTTAAGATCCAAAACAATTAAATGTCACATACCTTGCTCATTGACCTTGAAAAATTGTAAAACCATAACTCTTGGAATAAATGAGTCCTTCCTACCCTTGTTGTATTCATTGAATTGCATTGTCTATCCCTTCCACAAAGTGCAATTCAGATAGGTGTTACTACATATGAATAAGTAAAGGTAGTTTGATGAAATTATATGATGATTGAAAATATAAACTAAGTCCAACAGAGTGTTTCACGAAAACAAACCTCAAATTCTTCATCACTAAATTAATTTTTTGTTTTTTACTTCCGCTCTGTAGTTGAGTGTAACTTATCTCAGAGACCAATCCTATAACGTCTACATAATGAAGGGAAAAAAATTAAATGACAGACGTATCAAGTTAACTAGTGTTTTCTTCAAGTATGTTATAATGAACAATGGATGAACACACCTATCAAGACATCGGTTTTTCATTTTCCATTGATGATATAAGCATAAGGTTTGAACTGTAGTGGTTTAGGAGGGATTTTATGTTTGTTTTTTCAGGAACTGAAGTTCCACCAGTAAATGTCACCACAAATTCGTGTTTCGAAAGCTTGAACAAAACATCATTCAACGACACTTGAAAGTTTGAAATAGTATAAGTGTTATTGACTGTTATGACAAAATTGTACACTTTGGCCACAACATTTAGAACCTTCACATGAATGTCCGGTCCCTGAATGCAAAACAGGCAACGAAAGCTATATCAGGTTTGTGGTAAGGAAACTAACATATTTTGTTCTATTTAAACTATAATATTTTTAACAGGAATACATATATACTGAAATATATAGGTATTTAAATAAATAAAACCATTTAGTTTGAAATAGTTAAAAATAAAAACTTGATAATCAGAGTTATATAAATAGAGAAAATTAGAAAATTTGAAAGAGTTAAAAATGTAAGCAATACAAATCCAGAAATTTTGAAAGAGTTAAAAACGTAAACTTGTAAAACAAACTTATCAAAACAGGAACCAAACAAAAGGAAAAAATAAATAATATCATCATAGAGTTATCTAAACAGCTAAAATCAGAAAGTTTGAAAGAGTTAACAATGAAAACTTTTGTTTTTTCTAAAAACCTATACCAGATTTTCAAAACCTAAAATAAGGATTATAATAAACTAACCAAGCAAAACGTATCCAGGAAAGATAAACTAAGCATCATACATTACCGACACCATACAAACATAAAAATGAGTCACTTCATCAGAATCACATATCTTACATCTTTATCAACAACAACCATCTCAAAGTGTTCATTGGTCTTGTTCACCACAATCCATTTGTGATACATTCAAACTGCAATCTTTCATATTTCCTTGCTATCATTGATGTCTTTCACCAGTTCATACGGTCTAGCCATGTTCTACTCTGGATGCAGAAAATAAAAAAAATCAACGTTAACATCAACAAAAACAAATGACAACGATGAATATGATATCAAAAGTGAAGAATAATAAAACTTCTGAGATTTTGTTACTTATCTCGGTAGGTTATAGTTAAAACTAGAGTTGATTGAGGAAGACGATGAGAGAAAAATATCAGAGACAAACATATGATTTTTAAAGTGAAGAATGTGTGGAATGAGACAACCAAGCTGAAATTGATTAGACAATATATTGAGAAGCATGATATTTGTTTGATTCAGTTATCCGCGAGTACATGCCATCAAACAACTACTTCCCCTTTTTCAAAAACCCATTTGAATAGGACCAGGGGTAATACACATTTATAATATATAATATTTTTTACAATAAAAAATTTATTAACCATCACCTTTATTTCTAACCAAATCTAACATTCAGTTCAGATTTGATTATATTAAACACAAATTGTCTTCTAATATGTGATTTGTCACAAATATAATAAAGGTTAATAATAAATTTTCCATAATCATTAATTTTGTTATATTATAGATGTAAAAATAAAAGTGAAAAAATAATATTTTTATTAAAACATTCATTATTAAGTAAGTAAGTCATCACTATCAGTTTGGGTTCGGATAATCAAGTTTACGTACAGTTCAAGATTTTTAAAAATAGAAGTCTCAAATTTTGTTTTTATAAATTATAAATTTGATATATATATATATATATATATATATATATATATATATATATATATATATATATATATATATATATATATATATTGTAAATTAATTTGTATAGTGTTAAAAATGTTTATTTTTGATTCACAGGTCAATAATTCGATTCTTAGTGTCTATACTTTCCCTTTTTAAAAATTAAACAAGTATGATACTGCGGATTTGAACTTGCAAATGAGTTTAATATTAGAATATATTTTATTTTAGTATTTTTGTTACAAACAAAAGTTTAAAAAACATGTACTAGTAGTTTATCTTGGTGAGAAATGAATCTTGCTCTCCAAGTTAAAACATGAAGTTGTGTACCACCTTCTAGAAAATAGTACACGAAATCAAAACACAACCTCCTCCTTCGACTTTCTGCCACCTCATCACTTTTACGCGGTTTTCGCATCATCATCATCACCACTCACTAATCACCTCACCCACCTAATCACACTTAATTAAATTATCTTAATCCCAAATTACCATAAACCATTTTTCATTTCGACATTTGGCAGCTACACCAAAATAAACCTTCTCAGCTAAGATAACTCTCACATTGCTTTCCTCGAACTTTCATTTCAACACCTTATTTCCTTTTTTATTTATTTTTACACGCTATTAATTAATTCTAATTATTATTATTATAAAAAACGGATATTCTTACAAAATTGTACTAACTTTTTTATCTACTAAAAAGATAAACAAAATATCCATTTTACCCTTTCTCATCCTTATATTAACACTTGTCACTCTTGTCGTCAATGTCAATTTTCTCTGCAACACTTTTCTTCTCTATTGAGCAAAATAACATTCATTACATATAGATACACATATAGATATAGTTTCTATAAACATTGAACTTTCTGAAGAAAATCAGTGAAGAAGAAGAAGATGGAGAACAACAACAACAACAGCAACAATCAACAATCGTTTTGGCAATTCAGTGATCAACTTCGTGTTCACACATCAAATCTTGCAAACTTATCGCTAAACGATTCAATTTGGGGAAGCAACTACTCATCTTCCAAAAATGGAAGAAGAAATTTCGATATCAAAGTGGGTGGTGAAATCAACAACAACGATGGTTGGAAACAGCTGAACAACAATAACAACATGGTTGGTGTTGTTGATGTTGGGATTAATGGCGGTTTCAACAAAGGAGTTTATCCGAATTCAAACCTTTCTTATGGTAATTTTAATAGTAGTAACAACAACAACAACAACAACTTGAATATCAATTTCAAGGGAGTTAAGTTTGGTGGTGCTAAGGTTGAAGATGAGAATTTTCATGTGGCTAAATCTTCTAAGAAGAACACAAGCCCTAACAAAAAACACGGAGACAACAACAATAGTGATGGGAACAAGAATAAGGATGTTAAAGGTGCTTCTGACAAGAGATTCAAAACGTTGCCACCGACGGAGTCTTTACCTAGGAATGAAACAATTGGTGGGTACATATTTGTTTGTAACAATGATACCATGGCTGAGAATCTCAAAAGGCAACTCTTTGGTATGCCACTTTACTTTCCTTTTTATTTTTTTTCTTCTTCAATTATGCAATTGTTATAATTATCTTTGACCTTTCATGTACTTTAATTTGGTTTTCATGCTTAATTTTACTGTAATTGGTATTATTTTTAGCCTAGTGACTAGAATAAGTGGGATGTCACGTGTAAAGTCTCTTTAATATGATGTCTCAGCATAACTACCAATTAATTTGACTTCAGTTGACTTAATGGGACAATTAGTTTGCTGGTTTTTAGTTTTATGTAACTATAAAGACATGAAATTTTTGTTATGGATTATTGATTATAGATTGGTGTGTTTGATGATTACTTAGCTATATAATGGATATAATAATAGGTTCTTCGATATATATCATGTTAATTGAATCTTATCTTTCAAGTGTTTGATTTGAGAATCACAATAGCCTTCAATATCAATTGTGTTGTTTTCTTCTTTTCAGAATTTCTGAATGTTTGTGATTTTAGGTTTGCCTCCTAGATACAGAGATTCAGTTAGGGCCATTACTCCTGGGTTGCCTCTTTTTCTTTACAACTATACCACTCACCAACTTCATGGAGTATTTGAGGTATGTTACTTGATCAATATCATTTCTTTTTAACCTAATCAATTTAATTAGACTTTAACTATCCATTAAAATTATGGCTTAGGCATCATGATACAATACAACCATTACTAGTTTATACATTTTGGAAGCTGTTATATAACATATGGTTTTGGTTTTATTTAGGCTGCAAGTTTTGGAGGAACAAACATTGATCCAACTGCTTGGGAAGACAAGAAGTGCGCTGGTGAATCTCGTTTCCCTGCTCAGGTATCATCTTCAATCCAATCTCTACAGCTATTGGTGCAGCATAAGTATGTTTTAACGGTTCATACTGTTGCTGCACCATACACATTTGGGTTTATGTTCTATTGTCACTTTCATTTGCTAGTTTGTGGAAACTAAGAATGTTTTTCATAAATATTGATGAATATAGGTAAGAGTGATAACTAGGAAAACATGTGAGCCACTTGAAGAGGATTCTTTCAGGCCAATTCTTCACCACTATGATGGTCCTAAGTTTCGTCTTGAGCTGAATGTGCCTGAGGTATTCACTCATCTGCAATATATTGATCTTTTTTATCCTTTTAATCAAATTGGATTCTCCGCGGTTAAGGAACCACTCATTTGGGGGTTTTAGTGACTGTTCGATCAGAACCACGCATTGCAAAAATCCCAAATGAAGGGAAACACAATCCCTTTTTAATGTAGTTAATGTTTTTTTTTGGTTACTAGTTAATGTTTTTTTCATGTCAACTAAATTGTGCTTTCTTGTTTTATTTTTAGGCGTTGTCTCTGCTGGATATTTTTGAAGAACAAGATACTTCCAGCAACTCTTTGAAGGTTGTGCAAGCATAAAAGGGACACAATTTACAAAGAATAAAGAAAAACAAGTCATAATTAGAGATTTGGGTTTGTTTTTCTGTTTTTATAGCTATATGGACTTGCAAATAGAGTCCTAAGATATATAAAAAAAAACAAAGTGAGTCTTTTTAGTAGAGTATGCTTGGATGAATATTGAGTCTAAATATTGTGTTCCTAATGTTTTTGTATAGAGGCTACTACTGCTAAACATGGTTGTCCAATTTTCTTATGTTTGGTATGAAACTATCTATCATTATTTAAAGAGAATACAATATTTATTACTATTGAAATATTTTGTTTATGTTAATTTTTATTGGTTTTCAATGATCATTCTATGTTAGATTTGACTTTCTCATTCATGTGTTTTTTTTTTTTAAATCAACAATTTGACTAGGTAAATTGGACTATAATATTAGTAAGTCCACAAAGACTTTGTGCCTAGTCTTTCAAAAATAAGATCTTTTACTAATGAGAAGACTTTGCCATTTCATTACATCATTACATTGGTCAAAAGAAGATTATTTGAAAAGAATTATTAGGTGATCTATTTCAAGAATGATGAAAAATAGACTTATGTGTTGAGAGTATGGATATTGGTTCAATTTTGAGGTATGTGTGGTTTGGTGATCTGAATTCCTAACCAAAAGCCAAATAGGAATATGCTAAAAGCATCTTCTTGGTTGTTTGTTAGGTAAATTGATCATGCAAGTAGATAAACTTAAAAGGGAGTAAATTTCTTCTGCCGTTAAGTTTATCTAAACAACTTGTACTACTACTCCTACTAGTAGATATTTTTAGTACCAAGTTGGTTTGTGAATGGTTATAATAATACTAAGGGACTGAGCCAAAATAAGGAAGCATTCTTTTCACTAATTGACTATAGGATTGTAAATTACACATTTTCATTTATGAGTCAATTTTGCTGTTGGGATGTCCAAGACTAGCTGGCTACAGCTAATACATTGGAGTGCCTTACGGTATAAGTAAAAGATATATATGGATTGCCATACTTCTTTTTCTTTAATCTTTTAGTTGATAAAATCTTTTATGTATATTGAAAGATAAAATATATTTGTCTATCAAACAGAAACAAAGAAGGAAATATCAGATTTTCAAAGTTTTTTCTCTTCTTTTTAATTTGATCATTCATTTAATCTCTTTTTATTTTGGGATGTCAACGAGACAAACAATATTCGAATGATATTTCTCTGTTATAGAGAATTTTTTTCTCCATCCTCATTCCCATAGATCCTCACGGATATCTATAGAGATCGAATCTTAAGAAATTTCTATATTTTTCAATTAAAATTATGACATTAATATTTCATTATTTTTCTATTTTTTTTAAAACAAATATATTTTACATCTTTCGTTTTTTAAAATGAAAATATATCTTTGCATTAATAAAAAAAACAAAAACACTTGTTGTTTCTAATGTTTTTTCTTAATAATAAATACTTACAAGACTTGTTTTATCATGTTTCCGCTAATTTACTACTACCGTACCGCTGTCGTCTAATGTAAGTACCACTGTCGTTTAGCGTAAGTGGTTGATTATGTGTGAGTGTGACAAATTTATAACTACTAATTTGTTAATTAAATAAAAAATATGTTATTAATAAAAATAAAGTGAATTTGAAGAGTAATTACCATAAACACAATAAACAAAAGAGAGAGAGAGGTTGTTCATGACATATGAGATGATGAATGGAGGAGATCGATAATTGAAAAAAGAAAAGGAGGAGACAATATACTATATGTATTGAATGCACTTTTCTAGGATTTGATACTTAGAGTAGTAAAAAAAATATATTATACAATAAAACATAAAAATAAAATGATCCACTAATGACTCTTCATTTTCTAATACATTAATTTTTTTTTTATGTAAAATTATATATTATATTATATAAAATATAAAAGTTAAATAATATGGTCAGAATCGAATAATCTAAAGTTAAATAATATGGTCAGAATCGAATAATCTACGGGGACGAATGCTCAATCTCCGCTCTAAGTATCATTGGTAGAATTTTCCCTCCATCTCTGTTTATGCGGGAAAAATCCCTAACTTCAATACTTCAAATAAATAATCTCTACAAAAATCCATATATATATATATATATATATATATATATATATATATATATATATATATATATATATATATATATATATATATATATATATATATATATATATATATATATATATATATATATATATATATATATATATATTAACATTACTATTTTTATTTATAAATTTTTCTAAGTCATAAAATAATTGGATATGATTTTAGTTTTGAATTTCTATCTAGTTTTAATTTCAATTTTAAATCAAATTTAATATAACTCTTAAATCCTTAATAGAATGTGGGAAAGAAGCAATTGCCTGCCGATGATATTGTGAACGTGGTTTTTAATAAGGACGTGCAAGGATCTGAAGCATTAGAAGTGAAATGTTTAAGGACCTAAATCACATCATAAATATTTTTCGAACATATTTATAAACAACAAAAATATTTTAATTCTTGATCACTATTATAAGCAAAAATTAATTATTATTAAATTATTTAATATTGTAATTTTTAATATACCTTTTTATTTCATTTTTCAACATTCTATTAAATTTAATAACGAGGATATGATAGTAAATTTAATTAATATTTTCACCATAATCTAAAAAATTAACTACATTTGATTGAATTTCTTAATAACTATAAAAATCATTTTTATTACTTAAAAATGTGTCCAAAGGGTGTATTTAATTAAGAATTTGAAGTATTACGTCCTCCGATCCCCAAGGAGTGAAAACTACCTCGTAAAGACGTAGATGTTAGAAGAAAGAGTTGAACTTAAGATTTTGATGGAGAGTTTGGAGAAGCGGAAGGAGGTTTCAAAAAAAGGTAGGATATAGTAGAAAAATTGAAGGTTCGTTTTTATTTATAACACAAAATTCTTATAAATTGGGGAATTTAAAATTTATATGAGAGGAAAGTTTGAAAGAATTTTGGAGGACTTACATAAATTCTTATATTTTATGTTATAATATTTTGAAAATTAAAATATATTAATGATAAATATTGATTTATCATTTTATACAAAAAGAACAATTTTAAAAAATATTTTTTTTTTATAAATTTTCCTTTTCAAAGTCCTTTCTTCCTCTCCCCTCCAAATCTCATGCAAAACCTAAAAATATGATAACTTCTATTGATCATATCAGTTCGATAAATAATTTCAATAGCTATTTTGAGTTTCATTAAGATTTAATATTAAACATGATGTTCAATGAAGATATTAATATAATCATAGAAGCTATAAACCATCAACCTTATGCCTCTATAATTACTAAAAGAATAAGTTTCACTAGAGATAACTTGAACGAGAAATGTTTTTAGAAGATGGTGCGGCCAACCCGTTGAGTTTGTAATTCCTTGTGTCGAAGCAGCATGTTGCTCGATAGAAGGGTATGTCGAAATATCGAAGCAGGTTGTTCGACAGGATTTCGACTTAGATCTATTTTAGTAAGTGTTAACTGAATTAGGTATTTTGGACTTTGGCTTAGGGAGCAAGCAAGCTCAATTATAAATAGAGAAATTAAACCCCATTGTAACAACTTGTATTCACAGAATTTTCACTTACAAGTGAATAAGATTTTCTACAGTTTGTGAGCAGAGAGTTATCCTACAGAAAATATTCTTCTTTCTTTCTTTCTCCATTTTCATTCTTTTCATTGTCATTATATAGTGATAAAAATCTTGTTCATCAAGATTGATTGAGATTCATCATAGGTTGTGTTGGATTTTTAACATCTGGTATCTAGAGCTCTGGTTGAACGATTCAAGGGAAGAAAACCACGATGTCAGTGAATCATCCGAATGAGCATTTTCCAGCAAGGGTGGAGCGACCTTCAATCCAGGTAAGGGTGGGGCGACCTTGAATCACCCGTTAATTTAATTAATTATTTAATTAAATTATTTTTGGATTATTTGTCGAAGTTGCGAGATATTAAGAATTATTGGTATAAGTTGTTGGATTATTATTAATTAATTAGTTAATTAATAATAATTATAATGTTGGAAATTAATGGAATACATAGTGTTGGACTTATGTTATTGGTTGAAAGTAGTAAAGTGGGGGTGTGTGGGTTAGGCCCAATGGGATTGATATATAAGGTTAAGCTGACACAAGGATTTGTTTTAGTTGGAGAATAAGAAGTTCTGTATGTTGACCGAAAGAGCTGCGCGGAAGAGGAGCAAGCTGCCCGATGTCGAGCAGAGAAAATCAAGGATTACGGCCTGAGCTTTGGTGGAGCGACCTTCAATCCAGTTAAGGATGGGGTTCTGACCTTATAGTGGGATTTATGATGTGTATCATATTGGAATTAGTCGTTGTAGGCCTGTTGTGCGTTGATGTTTCTGAATTTGCTATCGAAGTTTCCCGTCTATTCATGTTGTGGTCGTTGGGAAGTACCATACGACTGTTTAATGAACATGTTATAGGAAGTTTCTCGGTTGTTTATTGTGGACGTTTTGAGTTATCTGTGTGACTGCCCGGTTTAATCTATGGATAGGTTAGGATAGTTGATCACTGGTCGGGGTGGTCATTAGGACGTTAGGATATTCCGAGCGGATTGGCAGGAAAATTAGTAAATTGCTGAAGTGGTCGTTTTAGGGAGGTTTCCGCGTGACATGTCTTGAATGATTAATGAATATGTTGATAGGAAATAAAGTTTCTCGTTGCTATGTTATTCCGAGCGGTTGGCCAGAAATTATGAATTGTAGTGGCGTGGTCGTTAAGACGTTGTATTGTGTCTGTGATGTTGGCCGAACTAGTGGCCGAGGAGGATGTTGATGGTGTTAGGTACCGAGCGGCATTTAGGCTGCGAGGTGTGTCGGGGGGTTATATGTTGGATTGTCAAGAGGTATTAGGTTACAGGACGTGCCGAGGAGCATAAGTTAGTTGTTATTATTTTCTCCGCACGTGTCG